TAGTTTTGATTAAATTCTCCTATTAAAAAATTTAAACTTTATAAATATACCTAATTTAGACTTTTCAAATCACACATACAAAAATAAAATAAAATAAAATGATAAAATGAGACTTTTTTTCTAGTGAAGTTTGGTTTTTCTGTGATTAATTTAACAAGTAAGTTATAAAATAAGTTTTTAAGGCATAAGATTTGAGATAAGAAATAAAATACATAGAAATATATTTTATATTGGATTATTGTTTAAAAAATTATATATAATACAGAGATAAATGGTTACATATTTTATTCATCATATCATGTATTAGCACTATATAGTAACAAGCATGGATGGTGACATTTATTAAACTAACACGATATTGATACATAAAATAATAAACAAATTATGATAATAAAAGTTGATAATCTTGAAATAATTGTTTTTAGAACTCGTGGGTTATGAATTGGGTATTCAATAGAATGGAATGAGTGTTCAACCAAGTCAGTGGGTTATGAATTGGGTATCAATAGAATGGAGTGAACGTTCAACCAAGTCAGTTGGATTGATTAGGTGTTCAATGAAATGCAATAGGTATTCAAACTTAGGGACTAAACAATTTAACATACGTATATTACTAATTTATTAGAGCATCCATAATGGATGTGTTAGTGTATTTATTAGTATTAATTGTCAAATTTTGACTAGTACAAAACATTGTTTTGTGTTGTAATGGAACTGCTAACTTGTGTGTTAGTGTCAGCCATTAGTTTTGTGTGTTAATTATAACTAGCGTTTTAGCCAGCAAGAGAGGGAGAGAGAGAGAGAGGTGGACACTGGGAAGTGAAAGTGGGGTTGTCCAGCCGGACGTCCGGATCTTGCTAAGCCACTGAATGCATTTGTGAAGAGAGAAGAGAGAAAGAAGAGAGGGAGAGAGAGAAAAGAGAGAGAAAAAAAATAGAAGAGAGAAGAGAGAAAGAAGAGAGGGAGAGAGAGAAAAGAGAGAGAAAAAAAATAAGAGAGAGACGTTTATATTTTATTTATTATTTATATATATATATTTTTTTTTTAACACACATTTTAACAGATTTATTGCACCACTACTCACTTTCTAAAATTAACAAAATCTTAAAACACCTCAACACTTATTTTTTGGTCCTACTTCTATCACTTTTTGTCATATAACACATTTTAACACACTTTTTTAACTATCCCATTATGAATGCTCTTAAAAAAATAAATAAATAGGGTGTTCAATTGCATACCCTACCTATAGGGTAGAGTTGCCCTTGGCCACTGTAAGTAGGTAGCAAACTTACCAACAAGGGTTGGTTTAGTTGGTAAGGCTTGTTCCCTTCGCCCATTTGGCTTAGGTTCGAGTCCCGCTACCGGCAGTCCTTTGTTGATGGGCGATATTGCGTAACGCTTTCCCTGGCCCTGGAATGGAGTAGCCTCCCCTCCTCCTAAACTTTTTTTTGAATCAATATAACACATTTTAACACACTTTTTTAACTATCCCATTATGAATGCTCTTAAAAAAATAAATAAATAGGGTGTTCAATTGCATACCCTACCTATAGGGTAGAGTTGCCCTTGGCCACTGTAAGTAGGTAGCAAACTTTGATCAATCTTCAGCGACTCTTCGAAGAGTGGGTGGTCACCGTTGTGATCTTCAACCACCTTGTGACATCCTTTTGATCACATCATAACCTCCAATGGCATCTTATCACCAATTCTAGTGGACAACTCCGATCACCCATCACTAACTTTTATAGATCAAAAAAAAATAAACTCATCAAACATAGTTCTATTTTTATTTGTATTTATTTTTTTTAAAACATTTGTACACCAAACAAGTTTTCTAATCTTGTTATTTAAGAAAATAAATGAAAACATGTTTCTTATTTTTTGTACACCATACTTAATTTTTATTATTATTATTTTGAATGGTTGCAAAGGAACTTAGCTCATCACCGAAATTTTGTTATATAGCAAGTTAAAGCTATTGGTTAATTATACTTCTTCTCTCCCCTAAAAACAAATGCTACCATTTGTTCTTTTATCGCTCAAAAAAACAAAAAACCAAAAAACATAGACATCTCTGAATTTTTGTCCTCTCCAGCCAAGGAACGGAACTTAGCTCATCACCAAAATTTTCTAATCTATAGCAAATTTAATGTCATTCATTAATTTATTTATTTATTTGTTTTAAAGTAAGCTCAATTTATTATTTTATTGGATATTGGATGGGTGGTTGAAAGAGTAGAGTATAAATTACTCGAGTCATTCATTAGTGATGGAAAAATTAAATAAGTTAAAAACGAATCAAAGATAAAATTCAAATTTGTCATATTTTTTAATGCATGGCAAATATGATATAAACAGACAAAACCAACCAAAGGTAATTTCAACATACATTTTACAAAATCCTGACTGATTCCAAAATTTCTCACAAGAAATATCATAGTTTCAAGTTTTTAAAGTTACTTTTAGATCATGAATTTGTATAAAAATTTAGAGAACAGAAGAAAACATGAAAAAAATTAATAAAATATAAATGAAATATAAGTTCAATTTTTTCTCCATTTTTCTTTCTCTTTTCAAATCCATGATGAAAATACAGCACAAATAATAGTCCACTTGGATACTAACCTAAACCATCCCACTACTAATGGCCTAGCACAGCACTACTCTCTCTCTCTCTCTCTCTCTCTCTCTCTCTCTCTCAAGTAATTTTTGCAATGAAAATATGTCAAGAAGAAAATCACTGATTACATGTTGGAGTCATACTTTCTCCAACATTATTTTTTCTTTTTCTTGGAAACATTCCTAGATTTCTTGAGCTTTCCTGTCTCAGAAAATAGACTCTTGTACTTCTCCAATACCCGATCCCTGTCTTCAATTAACCCTAACATCTCATACGCGTTTGCAACTTTCTTCACCACCTTCTTGTCTGGGGGTTTACGATCAAAAGCTTCCAGACCCTTGAAAAGCTTTACAAGATTCTCCAACCTGTTGTTTCGATAATATACAGATATCATAAGATCACACAACTGCCAAGGTACTGAATGCAAATCACTACCAATTTTCTTCACCCAAAACTCGTGTGCTTCTTCAACCCGGTGGTCCATATCTAATGCTCGTATTAACTGTCCATACGTCCTCATTGTGGTTCCCTGTCCTTTGCTTAGCATCCATTTTATAACCTGAACAACTCTATGCCATTGTTGCTCTTTCTCAAGAGCAAGCAACACATTCTTGAGGGAACCAATTGGGAAATTCTGCTCCCATGCAACCCACGCATCGAGCGCACCGTAGACAGCTTCTTTACTATCCTCAACATCAAGAAGGGTTCCAACTAGAAAACTGATCTTATCCTTTCTCGACACATTCTCTCCAATTTGGGGCCTCCGAACTCCTCCCGGACATGTGACTTTCGTTTGATCCTCCAGTGATGACACGGTGCTCGCATCATTTTGGTTGCAAGTATGAGCATGCACCGCCATACTGTAGCTTTGAGTCTGAACTCTGAACATTCCAAGTTGAGTATTTCTGCTAACTAGTTTAGCCATTCCAGTTGATCTCAGTATTAGGGCTTGAATTTCACTTTCATTGTATTGGTTAGGGACTTGAGTTTGTGCCAAGAAATGAAAACTTGGACTCCAGCTCTGCAATCTGACTATTCCGAGTAGAGTGACTCGGCTAACCAGTTTAGCCATTCCAGTTAATCTTGATATTGTCACCAATCTAAGCCTCAATACTAATATAGAAAGGTGGATATCAGGATACACAAGGCAACAAGGAATGCCCTGAAACAAGACTCAAGATTAGTAGCAGTCGTTGAAAGTTTGTGTATATGAACTTCAAAGTCACAAACATCATCAAAACGTACCACCAGAACGAATTCTTGTGAAACAATATATTTTTATTTTGAAAATTACTCAGGATAATTTGCAACTTAATTTAAATGTCATTTACAGTATCCAATCTCAATAATCTACTACCTCAACAAGGTTTTAAAAAAATAAATAAAAAAAGACGAAGCTGGAAACAGTAGAAATTCTGATTTTTTTTTTACAGCCTTGGTAAATAGCATGAGACTGATTTATCTACAGAAGCATTTAAATATTTTCTCAAACTTGACAGATGACATAGCCAGAAATTGAAATTACGCAATAATCTCCTCATGGTCATCATTGAACTATGAGGAAACCCACAAACATTAACAAGATTAAGAAAATATCCAGCCCCCACCCAAAAATTAAAAATTAAAAATTGTTGCGATATTAAAATAAAATAAAATAAACTAGGGTTAATTACCAGGCCTCCCTTGATATTTCTGAAATTACACTATCCTCCCTCACTTTACCTGACAATATACACAAACCTCCCTCCATTAACTTAGCCCCAAACAATGTTAAATTTTGGACTAAATGGAAAAAAATACTCTTAAATTAAAAAACACATAACCAATAAAAATCTATTTTTTAATCCTCTCACCAATGCAGGAACCTTCTATTCAAATGGCATTTCTTATTAAGAAACATGATTATGTGCTGCCAAGTAAGAAACTTGTAAGAATTCGCTACTAAGATAGAAACCTCTCAAACATATAAATCTCATAGAAATAAAAGAAAAGCAACTCAAACTTGTTCTAGTTGTTTCCATTTATATAATATTTATTTATACTTAATAAGACAATTTGTAGTTGACATTAATCTCTAATATTCATTCATATTTCAATATATATATTACAACTAAGCAGCAAAAAATAATTGTTAGAATATCTTTATATATCTAATAAATAAATATATACACGCTCCCATAGGCACTCAACCTAAGAAACTTCTATATGCCCTTGCTCCTCGACTGCCACTCCCGCTTTTGCTCCATCCCCAATTAAGCCCCTAACCAAACACTTCTATTCTCTCCCTCTCTCCTCTTCAGCCTACCAAAATCCACACTGTGAACCACCAACAACCCAGCAGAACTTCCCTCCCCCCTTCGTATCCTTTTTCTTCATCACGTCTACTATGGATCCACCATAAAAGATCTGTAAGAGACTTCCCATCATCAAACTCATTCAAGTTCCTAATCTTACTCCAAGCACCATCTTTGCACAAATCCACCGAAGGCATAAACAAATCCCTTCCATCCTTCAACTCCCTCCCTTGGCAAGGCCTACAAGATCCAATCAAGTGAAGCAAACCAAAGACCAATATCCCTCTTATTAGCGCACAAAACTCCCATCACTCTGTTCTCCCTTGTCAAAACTTCTGCAAACAAGTATATTCCCCTCTCACATGCCACCATGTTTGAGCTAAATGAATCTCTAAATGAATCTCCATTGCCAAGAGTGTTGATCCAATGGCAACAAGGTGGGTGTCACCATAAGCCAACCCCATCAGCTTTGTTGAATAACATGTTGCAAACATACTCCTACTAGGCATTTACAAATCAAGTAATTAAAAAGCCAAGACCTAGGCAACAATAAAAAACCAAATGTAGACAAGCACAGGCATTTCATTGGTAGACTTTACAAACCCAATAATTAAAATCAATAACAAACCATACTCCTACCAAGCATTTCATTGAACACCCTTGGCCCCAACACCACATATTTTACACCCCTTGGCATCAACAAGAAGTTGACAATAGCAAACAAACAAACAAACAAAAAAAATAATGTATAAAACTAGCTTTCAATTTCACCCTCTATCAAATATAATGCCTTTTTAGGGGAGACGATAATCTACAAAGAACAAAGAACAAATGAAAACCCAAGAGCTTTGACGAGGTCATAATATAACAAAAATTGTAGTGAATGAAAAACACGGTCGATCAGTGAGAAACATTGAGCCTCATTCCTTGATCAGCATCTTACATCGTCATTGAGTTGTCATGAGGCTATGGTGGTGGTGGTGGTGGTGGTGGTTATGTGGCTATGGTAGTGGAGAGAATAAAGAGGGCAAAGAGATACATTTGTTCAACCCATTAAATAACCCAATTTATTTCAATTAATTCCAACTCAGATTCAGAGAGAATCAAATTCCAAACTTTTCCCAACTCACATTTAAGACAAAACCTATGTTACATGGACTCTTCAAAATAAATCAAATACCCGTGTCGGACACCCGACACTCGGACAAGGGTATGAGATATGTGTCGGATACTTTTCAACGGATACTTCTTATATAATTGTATATAACACTATTATTATATGTACATATTGTTGTATAATTGCTATAAATGTCATTTTGACACTATAAGTTAAATATAATACCATTTTATCTCACATATTAGATTAAAAATATAAAAATATGACATTTTTTTGCCGAGTCCGCGTATCTTTAAATTTATAATTTGATGAGTCCGACCTCTAGATACATACCCGCACCCGACACCCGTACCCGAGTCCATGTAACATAGGACAAAACCCAATTCCACAACCTAAAACTAATATTTTGTCAATTTTTTAGGTTCTCTCAATCAAAACACTAATTTTTCAATTGAAATCACAATAAAAACCCATTTTTTTGTTTTTGTTTTTGTTTTGAAATCCCCAAATCAAAAACCGAGTTTGAATATCCAATCCTAATTCAAGGAGGGGGAGCGCTATTCTTCACCAGTCTATCTGTCGTGAGTTTCGTCTCTTCCATCATTCTCTCTCTATGGTGGTTGTGGGTCCTGTCATGAGGCTATGGTGGTGGTGGTGGTGGTGGTGGTGGTGGTTATGTGGCTATGGTAGTGGAAAGAATAAAGAGGGCAAAGAGATGGAGGTGTTTCATTGTGTGTTGGTAGAGAGGTATTTAGTTATGCTTGCAAAGGTAGTTTTGGTATTTAAACACTAAAAATGCCAACATCATAATTTTCTGTTAGTTGTCCAATGACAACATAATAGAGGGAAGGGGTGTTATATTATCTAGTAAAGTAAGGCAAGGAAGTGTAATTTCAAAAACCTCAAGTTAGGTCTTCTAATTGTTAGCTATGAAACACGGATACGGATATAGATACGGACACAGACACGACATCACAACATGACACTCAGATTCTGACACGACATTTTTTTAAAAATTAGGACAAGGACACGTATAAATACATATATATTATAAATCCATAGAAGAAAAAGAAAACATTATTTCAATCAAATTAGGGGTAAAACACAAATAAAAATTTAATAACAATCACATTACCCACAAGCATTCACAACAATTTGCATATCAATCACATTGCTATAAATTTTATTATTATTATTATTATTATTATTATTATTATTATTATTATTATTATTATAACAAGCAGGCTAGTAAACAAGAGAATAAGAACTGTCAATGCCCAATACAAGTAACAATGCCAAAAAACTAACGATATCCACAATAGATATGGAGAAAAGACAGATGACCTATGAGAAAGCAGTGGACTTAACAAAAACATAGGAGCCTTTAGAGCCTCTTCTATGTTTGGGAAAAAATAAATAAACAAGTTAATTTACAGTGTGCTTCACAAAAAAGAGAGAAAGAACAGAGAGGAGAAATTAGACTAAGTCAATCCAAAAAAAATATGAGAGAGAGAGAGAGAGAGTCTAGGGTTGTGACCCAGAATGTCCTACTCTTTCAGTGTGTCCATCAACGTGTCCTAGCATATGTCCCACAACATGTGTAAACAGAAAAATAAAACAAAAAATTCAAACACTCTGAGGAGTGTGTTAAGAGTGTGTCCGAACGTGTCTATGTACCAGACATATCGAACACAGATTAGTGAGGTTAGGAGTAGTGTCTATGCTTCATAGATTGTCAAGTACCATAAAGGAGGCATGCGTAATTAGCCTGAATAAATATCACTCCAATGCAACAGCAACAACAGCAGCAAATAAGGAGGACGATATAGGAAAGAAAATTCAACATATCCCAAATAGAAGTACAAAGAAAAAATTACAACTCCACAAGGCTATTAAAAAAATCCTTAAAAAGTCACCCTATCCCTTCCATCTCACTTTATATGACATAAAACCCAACAATCAATATCCAGAAATTAATATCCTTCATTATATGCTCAATCCTGCTTTTTTGTCCTCCCCTTCCCCCCAACTGCACCACCACAATACTAGAAGGATATGAAAATATACTTGAAGTCACATATGCTTTCCAGACAATTTCTTCCCAAGAAGTATTCCCATATCTAGGTAAAACAAGGATAAAGTATTATACTTTATAGTTTCCTCCTAAAACCAAACTCACATAGTTCGAACAACTGTTGAAACATAAGTCTATCATTCAAAAAGGTTGGTTAATTAATTACTCACATTTTCCACCATTGCAAGATGATATACTAACTATCGCATTACTCTTGAATTATTGGCCATGGCTTTCCAGGATATCTCTATGGATGGTTGGATGACCATGTGGCTGAGGGAAACCCTATGGAAATACAGTAGGCACTGAATTGGCTAGAGTCCACCAAAGGCGGAGGAAGAGAGAGGTAAGGCAACCATAGAGGATGGAGAGAGGGTAGAAGTGAAGAGCTTGACGCTATCGTCTAAAGGGTAGGAGAAGGCTAAAATGCTCATTGCATGGAGGCCTCCTAATACAAATAGCCAAACCATGGGAGGTCAATTGAACCAAAAATAGGTGGCTTTATTCCCTTTGTTCGATAGAATAGAGGTATCTTAACTACCTCTAAATCCTAAAATCACCCCTTGGGGTTCGTATCATAGGATGGATAGTGGATAGGTACAATACGTCCCTTTGGAGGTGTCAAAGAAGTTCAATGTTAGGTATGATTCAGCCTTCGAAACATCACATGTTCTTGAAAAATGCCTTTCTAATGATACGAGTGTGAGCCAACTTGAGAGAGAGAGAGAGAGAGAGAGAGTTGGCAAAGGCACCTAGACGGGCCCTTGGACTCTAGGCTCCTTCAAACCACGAATTCTCTGGGAGATCCCAAGCAAGGAACACAGGTCCTACTCCAAACTTAGATAGCGATGGTCAAGTGCTTCGGACTGGAGATTGAAGCACCACTTGATGGGGTTGTAGGCAACCCAGGCAGATTGAGTGAGTATTACATAGAAGCGCTAGCCTAGTGTAGACATGAAGGTGATGGCACACTCGAGTAGAATGGTTGACCAAACCAAGTGTTACCCGATCAACATTGATATTATTGTTGCTTCTATTCTATCCAATAATATAGTGTTGACATGTGAACACTATCTAAATGTTCTAGTAAAGCCACAAACAAGTATGCAACTTTATAGAAGAATAAGTTTCTTATACTATGAAAAGCATTGCACTATCTTCGGGAAAGATCGTGCTACAAGAAAAAAATCTTTTTGTTGAAGATGTCTTGGAGGAGGTGAATAGGAATAAGTCAAAATTTGGGTGTTGATTTTGAAGAAATGAAACATTTCTTACCAAATGCTTCCACTAATGACGAAGGAAATAATAATAGAGCAAGGAAGAGGAAGAATAGTAGTAACAGTTTGAATGTTTTCCACAAAGTAGCCATGATATTATTGGTCCCAAGACTGAAAAAGCAATTGATAAGTTCAATTGAGCTCTTGGCATAGATTTGGATAAAGCATTGATGGGCAAAACAATGAGTAGCTTCACAAGCTTTCAAATTAGGTGCGTTCATAAACCTAATTGACCCACTTAACCCAACCCGAAATTACCATCAACGAACAATATCGTGAAGTGACACAGTCAGCTGCAGATTGAAATAAAATTAAAAATCAGATTGTCAATCGGGTGTTAGGTTTGATAAAATATCACCTGTATAATCCGATCTAACCGAAGAATTAAGAAATATATTTCAGAACTAGCATATACACAATATCAAAGGTTCATGAGACAACACCTTGGCTACTCTTATCCTTTAAGGGATCATTTCATAACCTCGTGGGTTCGTTGAGATTACCCTTATCTCTCAAGCATTATCACTTATCAAATTCACAGCTCTCTCTTATGAATGACGAGAAACTTCTCTCACCTCCCTAGTTTCCTCTCGATGAGCTTCGATAGTGTTATTCTTCGAAGATGAGGTGCAAAAATATTGATCCATTATCAATGTTGTTGGCCATGTTTGGTTTGTATTTGTGAAACAATTTTTGAAAAATAATTTTCTGGAAAGAGTTTACAAAATTTGAAAATTTGTTTGGTTGTATGTTTTGAAAATAGTTTTGAATTTTTTGAAGTTTGGGATGATTTAATTTATCTTTATTTTTATTTTTCTTTTTTTGTAGTTGAATAGATTGGTGTGAGAGAAAAAGTGATTGATTTATGTGTAGGATGTGAGAGGAGAGAGGAGAGAACAAGTGATTGATGTGTAGTAGAGAAAGAAGTGATTTAAATTTTTTTTTTTCAAAAATTTTCAACCAAAGAAATTTTTGAAATTTTTTTTCAAAAATGGTCTCTCATGAGACAAACCAAACAAGGCCGTTATTTTTCAAAGATGAGATAATGGTTCCCTGATTTCACTTATCGATCATTGATTTCACCCCATGTTGATCAACCATAAAGCCCATTGTAGACAACGATGTGCAGAGTAGGGGATGGTTGTTGTGATGTTAGAAAGTGGAAGTGGGGGGGTTGTTGAGGATGTTCTATTGTCTACTGGGATTTGGATAGATGATTGAGAGACTAGGGTTAGGGTTTAGGAAAGATGGGATTGTTGACAAGGGTTGTGGTGGGAATGAGAGAAAAACATGGCAGATTGTTTCAAATTCCGACTGACAATCTCCAGACTGACGATGATCGGTCTCAAACATTTATTAAGTTGAAATCAAGTGGACTATCTTCCAACCAAACATGATCGGTTTGGGTGACGGGTATGTGATAAACCCGACCCAATCTGACCCATGAGCACTCCTATTTCAAATCTATTAAGGTTGAGTGCCATAGAGCCATGCTTGCTATAGCTTGTGGTCACTTCTTCACTTTTGAAGATCATGAGAAAAAAGGATTTGTGAAGAACTCACTTAATGGAAATTTGTGATGCCCATTACTTTGGTGTATTGATTCATTATATATATTTCCTAGTGGCTACTTCTAATTAGCTTTTTTGATGTTATCATTAAAGTGTTGGATCATTGCAACTTTAATAATGTTAGCAAGTGATGTTTAACTTTGGTATCCGTAGTATGTGCATGCTACACTTTCTTATTGATATGATCTTACTTTAAATGGCAACAGGAAAGTTTTGATGCAATAATTGCTTGAATTATGCTTCTATTTCTCTAAAAATGTGTAAATGCTTTTGAACTTACTCCAATATCTTGTTATTAACTAGGCATGGCATTAGTTCACCCCATAGTTTATACTTTCAATTGATAGGGGGGGGATTAGATTGTGATTGGCGTGACATTTGGAGCTTCACACTTGAAGAACTCCCACCTTTTTGTTAGACCTTTATATGGCCTCTTTGTACATATCTTTTGGTTTGTTCTTAGAGATGTATATTTTTGTACTCATGTTTCTGAATGGCCTAGTGCGGACCTTAATACTGTGTGATGTACCATCTGTATAATTCATGTTGGATAGGGAGGTTGAGCTCATAGCCACTATGCTCAGCTTCCACTTGCACACACCTCACTTATTATTCCTATTATTGTATGTTTTGTTGAGTTTAGGCCTTTGGAAGCACCGGCAACTAGCATTTCAAATTTTTTATGCATTGCCGCATTTACAATAACCAAAAAAAAGGATGTGGATATAGGGTCATGACAGAGAAGCTGGTATTCATAGGTAAGATGTGAACTGGTTCATGGCTATAGATGCAGCTCATGGTTGTCCTCTTTGTTAGCTAAATCTAACGTAAGGACGATCTCCTGCAAATTCACAAAATTTGGGGACTTCGGGGGTTTGCAACTATAGATGCAAACCAATCCAGATGTTGCCATGTGTCAAGCTTGCTGACACAAAGAAGATTTGCTGGTATTTGAGAAGTTCATGGCTGTAGAGACGTAGAAATTTTTTCTTTTAGTTATATTATTATAGATATATGTATGTTTATATATGAGTTGGGTACACATAAATGGCAAGCTATGGATCATGCGGTTGAGTTCATATATTAATTTTAATATAATATGCATGATTTGCTGGCCAAGTTATGTGGGACCCATGGGCATGGTGGGACCCAAGACTTATTATTGAGAAGTAAATGATGTTGAAGTCATAAAATGTTTTTCAGGAATTCATTTCATGAATTCAAGGCTTAAAATGGCATTTGTGGTGGCCAAGTTGTGTTGAAACCAGTTTGGATTAATTCAATTCAGATATCCTACAATGAACAATCTAGGCTCATTTTCCCCCCCTCCTTCCAATAAATGAATAATAATAATAATAACATGAACTCCACTGCACTAAACCCGCTTCCCAAATAGATAGATCGATAGAGAGAGAGAGAGAGACATGTTAACAGTTAAAAACCTTCGATTCAGTCCACAATATGAATGAACCAGAGCAGCTGAAAAATGTGGAAACTAGTGAACCAATATTAAAGTTTTAAGACAGCTCTAATCTATGCATGGAATTAGATTTTGTTTACATGGAACTAATATTTTTTTTATTTGTTTACAGTGAGAATTAAACTAATATTATGATGACATATCATATGGCAACCAACTTTTGGTCACTATAGCATTACTGATAAAATTTTGAGTGTTTTTCAGTCAATAATTTTCTCCATACTATTGCGAAAAGGGTTGCTGCATTGTAGAGAAACAATGAGCAATACTAGGCAACTTAATGTTGTCCTTGTGCAGATATCTTTGAAGGATGGGAGCTGCTTATGAACTTGATTGAACTATATAGTTGTTGTTATTCAAACTAGGGCAGCCCATCTGTCGCTACATTGGTTCAACCACCAACATATGGCTCTTCTTAACTCCCATCATTTAACTACACGCATGCTTAATTATATTCATTTTTTTTTCTAGGTAGGGTAAATTACAAATATATCCCCTGAGGTTTGCTTAAAGTACAGATTGCTCCTGTGGTTTGGAAAATTACAAATACCCCTTGTTAGAAACTTTTATTTAACAGAATTAGCTAAAAAAATGAAATTCATAATTGCTCTCCTATACAATAATAAAATTATCTAAATTATTAATTGAAATATATTTCTAATATCATTAAAAATCGTTAATTGACTTGACGATTTATTAATAAAAGGGACGATTTGTTATGAAATTAGAAACCTCAGGAGGTGAAATGTAATTTCTAAAACCATAAGGAGCGATTCGTATTTTAATCAAACCTCAAGAGGTGTATTTGTAATTTATCCTTTTTTCTAATATCTAAATCCTATTGATTAGGGTTTAGGGTTTAGGGATTTAAGAATTAGGGGTTTAGGGTTTAGGATTTAGGGGGGTCGCAGTATTGGATGTGGGTGTGTCCAAGTGTCAAACCTTCTTAAACCCAAAATATTAGGATATTGGCCTATTGGTATATGCATCCAAAAGTTGACAAGAAGTTCTCTTAACTGTCAAATGTGAGTTTCTTTTTCTTCAAATATCATAAAAACTAGAGGAACCACCCATCTAATTTGGGTACATGTGTCAGTCACATCCCATACCATTTCCCTTGTTATATTTGGTGGACACGGTTACGCAAAGAGGAATTGAAGCATCCATGTAATACTGCGTCTAGGTTGTAGGTAAATCTAAACAGAGGAAAACATATGATCATGTCTAGTTTCATAGGTAAATTTAAACATAGGGTTTCAAATATACAAATCGCTCTAGGGTGTTCTCTCCGTAGCATCCTACTGTCTACGAGAGAATTTTCCTTCATGCAAAACCTTGTTCCCTTGCATGTTTGGCTTGCATCATACATAGGGATTTTTAGTAGATAGTTATGGCTAGACATTTCATGGTGGAAGAGACATCAGGTGGGTTTCAATGTTTGTCCTTACAAAGGATGAAGAGGATGAAAAGTGGCAAAACCACTAAGGCCTTGGGAGGGGCATGTGCCTCTCAATTTGTCAAAAATTACCTTCTAGTCTTCGGTATTGAAAATGCTTTTCAATTTTTTCCACTCAAACTATATATATGTTCCTTCAATTTTTTCATTCTTCTTGCAATAAATATGAAACATCATTGATTAGAAGCAAGACATAGATAAATCTAAGCATTTCCTTCATTATGAGTATTTTATTGGAATTTCCTATTTTTATTTTCATTTCTTATTATTTGGAAGTTACATAGATTTATGAAGCACAGGTATAGATACTTATATAGAAAAACCTTTAAAAAGTAAGACACAGGTACGCCAAGATATGTCGGTAAATTTTTGTATATATATATATTTTTTAATGATTTGTGAAAATCTTTCAATTCAAGCACTTGCAAATCTTTCACTTCAAGTATATAACATATAGAAAAATAACTATACCTGTGTATTTGTGGAAATCAACTAATCAAATAACAATTACAAAAACATCAAGATTATGAAAGTAACACTTATGAACCCTAATCTGTGTTACATGGACTCGACACCTTGGGGCGAAGTACCCGTGTCGACACGACACGGGTACGGGTGCAGGTGTGGGATCTGTGTCGAATTCGCCTGTTCTCTCTCGGACACGACTCTTTACAAATAGCAAAAGACATGAAAGAGGAGAGAACAAGAGAGAACCTGGTCGCCTGTCGAAGCGGTGAAGACATCGGTCGCCGACTTTGATCCCTTTGGTCGCTGCTTCGACAACTTCGACATGCTCGATGCTCGATCTCCATCTCCTGCTCTGTCTTCTCTCTCGTCTCTCGATCTATTGATCTCTCTTCCTCTCCTCTCGTCTCTCGATCTCCCTCTACTCTCTCTCTCTCTCTTCTTCTGTCTGACTTCTCTCTTCTTTCTTCTCCTCTCTCTGTTCTATTTTCTTCTTTAATAGTATTATTTTCTTCTTTCTTCTCCTTTCTTCTCTCGATCTCCCTCTATTTTTTTCTCTTTGTTCTCTCTGTTCTATTTTCTTCTCTTCTTCTTTATATTATATTAGTATATAATATAAATTACATTACTATAATAATATATAATATTATTCATATCATATAATATTATTTATCCATTATTCATATTACATTTACATTAACATATAGTATAAATTACATTAATATAATAATATATAATATTATTCATCCAAAAAAATTTATATATTATAATATATCATAAATAATATAATTTTTATGTCTAAAATAAAAATAACTTATTTTATCATATATAATATAATTTATTTTATATCTAAAATAATTTTTATAATTTTTATTTGTTATTTATATAATATAACTCATCTTCATATCATAAATATTTTTTTTTTTAAACTATTTAACGTATCCCCGTACTCGTATCCAAATTTGGATACATATCCACGTATCCTTAATTTTTAATTTTGAAGTGTCCGACCCCTAGATACGCACCCGCACCCGATACCCGTACCCGAGTCCATGTAACATAGACCCTAATATCTAATTGTTTCTTTCATTTTAGTCTTCTTATTAAATTTATTAGTTTTATTTTATTTTATGTAATTTTGATTGTATACAACAGGAAGCAAAGGAGGATAATAGTTAGTTACGAATTACCTGAAAGTTTTCAAAGATGACTACAGAAGAATAAAGGGCTTCAATGCATCAAATTCCAGCTGCAGATGAAAGAAAAAAAAAACGAATATATACATATATATATAGATAGATGAAAAAAATATAAAAACAGATCGAAAAACATGGAGAATGGAAAAAGAGGGAGAGAGTCAAATAGAAGAGGAAGCTTACCTGAATCTCAAGGTGTCGGAGCTGTCGGATGGTTGTTGCCGCTGAGAAGATAAACGAAAACATGAAGGAATATCGATCCAATAGTGTCATGAAGACCCTCCTACATGCTAAAGACATTATGCATCAGCCACTAAAATGAATTTAACATTGCAGTCCAGGTTCCACGTGTATTTAACATTGCAGTCCAACTAAGTGAATGGAACCTGGGGGTTTGCAGGTTGGTGCAGAGGTTGACCACAGTATAGCAAATTGAAAACGTAAAAGAGCAAATATGACCACCCTATGGGGCTTCTGTAATGAACATTGGTCAGGGAAAGCAGACTGTAAGATTTATTGCAAGTTCCCAAGAAAATTATTTCATATTTTCATTTTGTTATCAATCTCACTCCAAGATGTCCCGGTTTTCTCCATTTTGGTTTTATTCATTTAATTATTTATTTGTGCTTTATAAGGTCAATGCCAACAACCTCACCATGACCTTTCCAAACTACATGGAGACAGTTGCATAAAACTTCACTCAAACTAAGTTCAAAACAATGCTTTTCTAAATCTATCCTCACAAGTCATGACGGGTATTGACAACAAAACTTTATTTAAAACAAACCCTCGTGTGTTAAACTCATGACTAGCCAATTCAAGGCCATTTCTACCTATGAGAATGTCACTTGCAATTCTTTCCCCAAGTCTAGTCAAACAAGAGAACTTGCATAAATAGGTCACTGATTACTGAAAATTGCATATATATCATAACAATATCCAGAAACCATCCATAACTTTCTTGCAAACTTACTTGTCAATTAAGTCATACGCTTCGTATCTCATTTCATCCGGTATTTTGGGCCAGGGTATGTCTCTGTTAATGATGTTGTCAAAAAATTTGCTGCAACAAAACATGACCCATCAGTAAAGATATTTAACCTGTATGCCATAGTCAACAAAATTAGACAACCAAAAACTTATACCCATATCAGGCTCGACAATTTTGATTTAAGTAGTCGGGCATCAAAATAAATATATATACAAACATTTATGTATGCATATTATTCATTTAAATACATCAACAATCACTTAGCTGCTGGACTACGATCTAGGACAGCTCGATGTTACATCATTTTGTCAAGTGAAAGAAAAATACATTGGTTCATAAAATAAAATAAATAACTGCAGAAATTTTAAGAAACCAAGAGGTTGAGTATTTGAAACAACAACAATCACCTGCGAAAGATGTCTCCTATGGTATGCCAATCCGTGCTCCTTCCAGACAATAAATCACCTGCTCCAAACAATTACAAAGGTAAATATTAAAGAGAGAAACAAGCAACCAAAATAATCAGATTTACTCATTTGATCAACCATTCCATTGTCAATACTATGACCACCTCATTTATAAATTAGTTAAGCAGTTGGGATCTTATTATTTCTTCTTTTGGTTACTCGCCATGAAGTAAATTGAATTATTTTCCTGGTTAAATTACTAAGAAAAGGCCTTCCATCTAGGTTTCAAACCTCGAACATGGCCTCTTAAGCACCACATTCAATTTAGAAGTGTTAGATCAATTACCACAGTGCATTATGCCATCAATTCACAGGTCAGAAATGCCATCTATTTGCGATAGTGCACAATGTACTCAACTGCATTGATGAACATAGCACCAATTAAAGCACATAAGAGAATATCAAACTTCAACGACGTACATATTTTTTCACATGGTAGCTGTGGCTAATTATCCTATGCACTACCATCCTTTGTGCCTCCTAAAAGAAACCTAGGTTCTTAAATTACATGTCTGATATATCATATGCCTTTTCCAATTTATATCTATAAAATGCTAACTGGACTTACATGTAGAAGAGCATTTGCATTCATAGGCTTCAATACATTAAGCTCAAAAATGGAAATGTCATCCACCCACTGTAGTTACAACATGGTTTCTCACTACTGAGGTCTCCAATTGATGTTTATCACCTAAGAAAACTAGAATAAGACAGTAAACCTTACTTGAGCGCAAACCATAGTAATGGCCTCACACTGAGTAGGGTTCACTTTCCCCTGAAATAGAGCGCTCAAACAAAATAAGATATATCAGGTGGAGGAATAGGACTTCAATTCTGAAGCAGTGTACAAACTAATGTCTTAATCCAGATTAACTTGATTCTTTAGATTCTAAATTCTCTCTCCACAATTCTAGATTAAAGTTTACTCTTATGTCATCAACTAAAATTGTACAGTCTACAAATAATACGATATCCTCTTGAATTATGTTCCTAATAGATTCATTTATAACTAATGCAAAAAAATAAGAACTTAGTACTGATTTTTTATATAAACCTATTAATATTAGAAATTCACATGTTTCTCCTTTGTTTAACCAATAGTTACAACTAAGTTATACATATAATTACATCAACATATCTAACTAATACTCCTTTATTTTCCAAAACTGTCCACATTATATCTATCTAGCAGCTCATAATGCTATCTAGGAAACCTATCATATACCTTATCTAAACCAATAATCACAATATAAGGTCCTACGAATTCAAAAAATTTCATATCTCATGACAATTTGTCAACTTTACTACATATTTTTAATGTAGGGTTACACCAGGAATCTACTTTAAGCCCTTATCTTTTTGCTTTAGTTATGGATGAGTTGACGAGAAATATTTAGGATGATGTACCATGGTGTATGCTTTTTGCAGATAATATCGTGTTAGTGGATGGAAAACTAGAATAAGACAGTAAACCTTACTTGAGCGCAAACCATAGTAATGGCCTCACACTGAGTAGGGTTCACTTTCCCCTGAAATAGAGCGCTCAAACAAAATAAGATATATCAGGTGGAGGAATAGGACTTCAATTCTGAAGCAGTGTACAAACTAATATCGTGTTAGTGGATGAAACTAGAGAATGAGTTAACACAAAGTTGGAGATTTGGAGAGAAGCGCTTGAATCTAAAGGATTTCGGATAAGTAGAATTAAGACAAAATACATAGTGTGTAAATTTATTAACAGTAACAATGAAAACAGAGGAGAAGTAAAGATTGAGAACCAAGAAGTACCTAAGAGCGAACATTTTCGTTATTTAGAATCGATTATCACAACAATGAGAGAGATTGATGCGGATGTGGTTTATAGAATTAAAGCAAGATGGCTTAAGTGGAGAAGTGCGTCTGGGTACTGTGCGATAAACGAGTACCCACTAGACTAAAAATAAAGTTCTATAGAACGGCTATTAGACCAGCAATATTGTATGGGATGAAGTGTTGGGCAACCAAGAAATAACATGTAGATAGATGAGTGTTGCTGAGATGATGGTGCTAAGGTGAATGTGTGGCAAGATTAAAAAAGACAAAATTAGAAATGAGTATATCCGGAAATGGGTAGGAATAGCACTAATAGAAGATAAGTTGAGAGCAAATAGATTGAAATGGTTTGATCATATTCAACAGAAACCAACAAATGCAGTTGTGAAGAGATGCGATGCAGTGCGCATAGATGGAAGTGTTGGAGGCTGAGGTAGACCAAGATTGACATTGGCTAGTGTAGTAAATAGAAATATAAATCTACTTAATTCGACTAACGAATGGCCTTTGATAGAGCTGCGTAGGGAAGAAGAATTCATGTAGCCGACCCTGATGAGGCTTAAGGCTTGGTTTAATTTGGTTTGGTGGCATTTTCTCAGGAACAAAACAGAGGCAAAAACTATAAATATCATAAGAAAAATGTAGACAGCATAAAACTCCCATCTTAATTTTCATTCTAAGGGACTAAAACAGAGATAAAGAATAAAACTCAATTTCTTCAATTCTAGTTTCCAACAATTTCTAAGCAGATAAACAGAGGCAAAATGGAGAAATATGATCAGACAAAACAAAAACATGCTGAATTTTCAGGCTTAGGAAGCAAAAAAATAATAATAATAATAATAATAATAATATCGAAATGAAGAAATAAAATTGAATTGCAATCATCGAATAATAGAAATCATCAAATTTGAATTTTGCAACGGTCATCCGTCGATCCAAACCATAGGAGCAGATTCAAATCGCAAAATAAGAAGAAACGAAGGAAGATAGAAACCGAGAGAACTTCCGAGAGCGAGTACCTTGAGAGAGAGAGAGAGAGTACCTTCAATGATCGAGTTCGAAAGAATCGGGAAAAGCTGATTGTGTTTTTAGAATATAAGAAACAGAGAGAGCACAAGATTGAGAAGAACATCAAGGACAGAGAGAACAAGATTGAGGTACAGAGAGAGAGAGAGAGATAGTCATACCAGTGTGAGACCGAGACAGACAGCGAGAACGCATGCGAGCGAGAGAGAGAGAGAGAGAGAGAGAGAGAGAACGATCATTGTGAAGGGCTAGGGCAAATATAAGGAAAAGGGGAAAATATAGAAGAAAATAAGAAATAAATCAGCTATTTGCGACTGATACTCAGGTTGTCACAAATTATACGGTAGGAGAAGGCCATTTTTCTAATAATGAGTGTTTCCTGAGGCTTTTCCCAAACTAATATCTATTAAGTTATTTTTCAAACTAAAGTCTAGTTTGGCCGAATTTCTCAGAATGAGCTGAAGCATATTTACAAAATACGCTTTTAGCATATTTTTGGCCCAGGCGCACGAAATAAATAAAATCATTAAAGTGCAGTTACAAAACACGCTTTTAATTAAGAAAACAATGTTCCTATTAGCGTTTTCATCTGTAAGTAATAGCGTTATTTCTAACCATGCTTTTAAAAAAAAAGCGTGATTCATAACCACACTTTTTGCAGAAAGCCATAAAAAATGGCCCACCCCCCTATTTGCAACCACGCTTTTTAAACACTTCCGTTTTTTTCCCCCAAAGCCCGAACCATTCTCCCTCTCTCTGTTGATCTCTGCTCCCTCTCTCTTTCTCTTCGTGGGTTCTCTGCTCTCTCTCTCTCTCTGTAACGCCCTCAAAATAACAACATTAAACCCATCAGATAAGACATGCATTTATCTAAACTCAACCAACCTGAAACAAAACCGCCCAACACATCCTATAACTCAAATACGAAGTAAAAGGATGTAAACAAAATAATAAACAACTACCAACATCCACGGACACATGTCCGGATCACGGTATAACAAGGGTAAACCCGGGATCGCTCTACTCTCTCTCTCTCTCTCTCTCTCTCTCTCAATTTGAATTTTATTTGTGTTGATTTTGTTTGTGAAAATGTGAATGTGGGTACATAACAATGTGGGGTTTTGTGAATTCAAATTGGGGTTTTGTGAATTCAAATTGAGGAAGTTTGGAAGATAGAATAGTTTGAATATAGTTTGGATGATAGAATAGTTTTGTGTATTGAAATTGTTTTGTGAATTCAAATTGATACCAATGTGGGTAGAATAGGGTTTTGTGAATTGAAATTGCGGTTTTGAATTCACAGATTGAACCCTAGCCCTAGCCCTAGCCCTAACCCAAAGCTTGTAATGCAAATTGAACCCTAGCCCTAACCCAATTCTAGGGTTTTGAATTGAATTTGAATTCACAAATTAGGGCTAGGGTTTTGTGAATTCAAATTTTGGTTATTATATGCATTTGTGTTTGTTTGTGAATTCAAATTTTGATTAATTATGAGTTGCACCAATCTTTGTGTTTGTTTGTGAATTCAAATTTTGTGTAGATAGGCCGATGTAGACAGAATCCATGTCCCAAAATCGTAGGAGACACAGATAAAATTAAACTTTTTTATTGCAAATAAAATTATGGATAAACCCAAAATGTTATTTGTCACTTTCTTAACTAAGTGAGTCAATCTCAATCATATGATTAACGATTTTACTTCAAAAACACTAATTGACGTTATTAATTGAATCAAATTAATATAAAATTTTAAATCAAATCAATTAAAAATTTATGAATCAAAATAATATATAAGACAAAATACAAAAACTACCAATTTAAGTTAATTTTATCCACTAAACATTACCACTTTCCCAATCTTGATTTCACGGAAGATCCAAGGCTACCAGTTGGCAAGCTATCAACTTGCAACCGAAGACAAGAAAATAAAACGAAAACAACAAAATCAAGTCAATTCTATTGTGAAGAAGATTTTTTTTTAATTTTTTATGATTGTCAGACAAATCTTCACAAAAATAATAAAAAATAAAAAATTTAGTCCTCGATCTGTATTGAAAAGTATTGTTCAAACACATAGAGTGCATTATGAGTTTCAATATAATAATCTAAACCATTTGTTTTTTATTTTAAATTTTCCATTATTTAGTGTTTTTAGAGTACTACTCGACATTATTCATGTTAGAATACTTGTCCAATTATCTCTTACAAAAGAGAGAAAAAAAATTAATTAAATTGTAAATTAAATCATTGGTCTCTGTAATTTAAGTGAAGTGTCATTTCAGTTATCGTAATTTTAATTTGAACATTTTAGTCTTTACATTTTAAATTTTGTTACAAGGTGGTCCCTTCATCAAATGTTGTTGACAATTGAAATAGAAAAAATTAAGTGCAAAATTAGAAAAATCAAAATAATATTTAAAACAAATTATAAAGACCAATAATATAATGAATATATTACACTGATAGTCTTTATAATCGATTTTAAATTTTACTTTAATTCCTCTTATATTTTACTTATAGTATTTTTCCATTTTAAATTCAAACAAAATTAAAAATGTATTACCAAAACCCCATATTGTTGGCTAAAGATTGAAAAAATTCTAAGGCCACTCTCTACCAACTGAGAAAAATCATGATAGAGATATAAATTCATTTAATATTATACTAGCCCTAACCCAATTCTAGGGTTTTGAATTGAATTTGAATTCACAAATTAGGGCTAGGATTTTGTGAATTCATATAACATACATTTAACCCAAAAAAATTTTAGGGTTTTGTGAATTCAAATTTTGGTTATTATATGTATTTGTGTTTGTTTGTGAATTCAAATTTTGATTAATTATGAGTTGCACCAATCTCTGTGTTTGTTTGTGAATTCAAATTCTGTGTAGATAGGCCGATGTAGACAGAAACCATGTCCCAAAACCGTAGGAGACATAGATAAATTAAACTTTTTTATTGCAAATAAAATTATGGATAAACCCAAAATGATATTTTTCACTTTCTTTTACCTTATATCTACTAGTTGGCCCCCCATGCACGGAGTCGTGGTATAGTTTCAATATAAATATTTTTAAAATTATGTTTGGTTTATGAATTTAAAAAGTGAAATGTAGTTATATTTTAAATTAATTTATTTATCTTCTGTTTTTCTCTTTGCAAATTTATTCACAAATTAATACCAATATGAACATAGCTATCTGTCATATTAGACGTAAATATATTTTCACATTTGTAGTAAAAAAAATGTTTTTGATAACAAAATCAACAAAACTATAGAGAAGAGCACTATATTTATTTACTAATAGAAAAATAATTCATCTACGTAATTTCTCTGAATAACCTGTCCAGTCAAATTTAAAAAACTATATTCAAATATTCATGCAAACTTTCCTGATATGTATTTTGGGAAGAAACTGTATAGTTATAATATTGTTATCGACAACAAGTATTCAATGCGATCTTGTCTAGATGTTATGTACAAACATATTAATGTTGATAGTTTGATAATAATATGCATACAGTATACATCTTATAACATACATTTAACCCAAAAAGATTTGGCAAAAAAAATATGTTCACTATATCATTCCATACCGTAGCTTATTATACACATTTAATGGAATGAAACATTACTTCAAGACCACTAAATAACTTTTCACTAAACATAGAATGTGAACATGATTGCCTTATATACAAGGGGTGAGTTTTTCTCAATTTCACTGAACTTGAGAGAACTTGAGGAGGTGGTGAGACCCATCACATGTCTTATTTCGATAATTCAAGCCTTTTGTTTTGGAGGACCCTCACTGTATATCATTCATGGATAAAATTAGGTCAATCCGATAATCAAATTATTTTTCTTTTATTGTATTTCTTACAGAAAAAATGGACTACAATTATATTTTTAAAAATAGAACATCCATTTTTTAAAGATAAATACAATAAAATGAAAAACTACAATCATCAGATTGACTTAATTTTTTTTCATGAATTATATATACGAAAGGTTTTATAAAAAGAATAGTTTAGATTATCGAAATGATATCCACTCAAATTTTCTCAAGTTTATATTTGAATTTAAAAAAAAACCCAATCCATATTTAAATATGAGTGTTGCTAAAAAGCACCCATACGGATCAAGAAATGCGCTTTTCATTGAATTTAATGTATTTTATTAAAATTAAAATATATGTTTTAATCCTTTTGTCTATTTTAATATCCCAATGGCAGTGACAGCCATTAGCATTTGCGTTTAACTATTACTTTTGTGACGCCAATTTTCCAGTACATCATTAAATGGTCAATGATTAATATTGGGTCAACCATTGGGTCTACTATAATTATCTTCATATAATTCTACTTCTGAAATATTGGGAATGGAATTGTTTTAGGGGCAGGATAAAAACAAAAAAGTATTTTCCTTGTCTCAACTCTCATCTCATTGCAACTTTCTACTATTTGATAAATCTATTATATATTTTTTTTATTTGAAAATGGATATATATATATCCTAATTAAAATAAATGAAAAATATGTGTACCTACTGAATATGTTATTTAGTATCATTCTGTTAATAACTTAAACTGCTTGTTTGATATTAGACCAATTCATTTGACTGAACTTGATAATATTACGAAATAAAATTGATAAAATTAAAACTTAAAACATCAAAATAGTACAAAACTCATATTTTAACAACTATAATTGCATTCTATCCTTTCTTATTTAGTGGTCTTGAAGTAATGTTTCACATTCTATGGTATATCATTCCATACCACTATACATTTAGTGGTCTTGAAGTAATGTTTCACCTCTAGAGTTCCTTGTACCCTAGAAAATATAAAATGACAAAAATTAGAGGGCAGACTTTCATAGGAAAATGTCACTTATTGTGGGTGTTTGGGAAGTGGCTATTTTAGAGGCCTTTTAGCTTTTTGGCTATTTTAGTAGGCAATTTTAGTTTTTGTGTTCGGGAAGATGGGATGGATTTTTATTTGAGTTGTTGTATTGAAAAATGTGTTGAAATGATGTTTGAAGTTTAAATGACAAATTTGTCCCTAAGATCACATTTTTTCAAATTTGATGTAAAGGGGCAATATCGTCATTTACCAAGGGATGGTCCAACTTGTCAATGTGACATCCTACACTGTCCACGGTTTCAGTTTTTTTTTTTTTTAATATAAAGTGTTGGTTTAGGGCTTTTTGGCTTTTTTTTAGTTTGAGGCTATTTTAGCCTCAAACTCATCTTCCAAACACCCCCATTATATGAGCCACATTC